TGGGGGTTGGGAGGAAGCAAAGAGAACCCAGCATGTTGGGGCTCTCCAGGATTGGGATTGCTGAAGACAACTCAGTATTTTTCAGACTGGCCTTTCTTGAAACAGTCTCCTGACAGATGTTAATAGGTATATAGAGGAAAAAAACTTCCTTGTTCAAAGAAGTTTGGGAGAATCACTATCTACTTTTTTATTCTTAATACGCCCATGAACATATTTGAAGTTCTGAGGGTCTTGCATTTAAAAATCTGGTTAAATTTCATATTGTCAACTTTTTCAAGCTTATTTGCTTCTAGAATGCTCTGTGTATGTGTGTATCTCTTAAGGTCTCGTAGTTTGGTTTATGATGGATCAGGTAATCAGGAGTCCCCTCTGTTCACCTTACCCTACCTGAAAGTACAGGAGCCTTTATTCCTTTCATCCAATGTGTTTGTTTACACTGTCGTTAGCCATTTAAGCCTGTTTGATTTGGGTGGAATAATAGCTTACTTCCTTACATACCTCATTCTTTACAAATAGCAACTATATGCCTGTGTTCCACATGTTCTTAATTCTTGTCATAAACTTAAAAAACAAACAATAAACTAGCTTCCTTATTATTCTACCAGGACCATAAGAAACCACCTTGAAATGTGACAAGGCAAACAGGGCCAAGGCCAACGGTTAGAATGAGTCCTGGTGGGAGGGGGGCAATGAGTTACTTGTATTATTAGTATACTACTACTACTAGACAACATTTTTATATGTCCTGACAGTTTATAAGTTGCTCTCATATGTGTTATTTTGTATAATCACATTTAATTATGGTTGAGCAAGGTACAAGTCTTACTGGTGAGAGCAAGGAACATGGTTTGGGGGGATGACAAATGAGAAGACATGGTGAGGAAAATAGTAGCTGGGAATGGAGCTAAGTGTCTGGAACAGTGGTCTAGATCATGCATTCTCAGTGGAGCTGCCATTGCCACCAATGGGTTAAAACGTGGTTTGTGGGGGGCAAAATATGTAGGTATTACAGTGATTTGTGACCATTTGGAGGGCCATAAAAACTACATAAAAATATGCAGTAAATTTGTGGTATTGACATTCATGGTAGAGGACGATTGGAACAAAAATGTCTGCCATAGGCTTGCCAACAGTGGGAGGTGATAATGGGAAAAAGGTTGGAGGACCATGGTTTAACTACCATAGTGCCTGTGGAACTTTTTGACATTCATGAGTGATTCTTCTGTTCCCAGACATTTTAGACAGCTCGTTTGTCAAAGTGCAGTGTCTGCTCCTTGCTTCCTTTGTCCTGCCCATCCTCCTCGAGGACCTAAATGACTGTTTTGCCTCTTTGAAGTCTTCTCTTCTAGCCACAGCTGACTGAATTAGAGTGGATAGAAGTCAAGACCAGTTAAGGCATAGACTGGTCAGTGCATGACTGGTCTCAGGAAGCCTGCCTGTGCTCACTTCCTCTCGTCAGACCCCTGTGATGCTGTTCTGTATTTTTATAATGTCTCTTGCACTACTTACTCCCTTTAAGATGATTTGAGTGAGTGCCAGGAGAGCCCTGGTTGCGACATCTGCCCAGTCAGGATGCTTGGCCTGGGGGTGTACTATTTGATCAAGACTGAATGTGACCAAGTGAGGATAGAAGAGAAATCTGTTTGAGTCATTGGCTCTTCATACTGTATATATTCACCATCTGATGAATGTAGAATAAAGTTTCTCAACACCTGTACTACTGACATTTTGGACCAGAGAATTTTTTGTTGGGGGTGGGAGTGGGGGCTCTCCTGTACACGATAGGATGTGTAGTAGCATCCTGGCCACTCCCCACTAGATGCCAGTAACACCCCACCCCACCGGTTCTGACAACCAAAAATGTCTCTAGAAGTCACCCACTGTCCCCTGGGAAACAAAATTGCCTTGGGTTGAAAACAACTGATATACATAAACTAGACTATCAGAGAGTTATAAATCTAATTGTATCATTATGATCAGAAACGCCATAAAGGGCTCTGGATCTGCTGTTGAGCATCACCTTAATAAGGATGTTACCAGAAATGATGGAAGATAGTCCTTGAGAAGGCTAAAACCAGTGTCGTTATCAAGATATTCACAACTACCCCTTAGTGAGTGCTTGCTTACATGACAGATGCTTGCTAAGCGTGTTTCATATATTAACTCATCAGCCCTCCCAAGGGTTGCCAGAAGTCACTGCCACCATTATTCCACCTACCCTACAGTTGAGGGAACTGAGGCATGGAGATGTTAACGGTCACCCAGCTGGTAGGGTTACCCAGGCAGCATGGTTCTGGAGCCCATGCACTCATGAGAACATAACGATTCCTTGGGAGAAGGAAAAGCAATCAGCTCTGTACTCCAGCATCCCACAGAAGTGGTTCCTAAGGAAGTTGTTAACTTTAAGACAATTCAGGTGGAGGCTGGAATTTCAAAGGGGAAACCAGAGGTGGTTGAGTCTATTGCTGTCTTCCCCTGCTCCCTGCCAATGATCTTCACTCTGTTTGCACCATAACCTACTGCTCTGGACTTATTTCCAGTGCTAGAGAAATTTCACTCTTTCACAGTTTTGGAAGGTTTGTAGAGGCAAGTAGCATTTGCTTGGGAGATCCTAGGCTCTTAAGGAGTGCCTAGAGTGGGTTAGGTTTGGATGTTAGAATAAATTCACTCCATTAGAGCCACATGTCATTGAACTTTGCCAGATCCAGCTGGCAAGGGTAGCTACTCCCATGTCACCAGTGCTACCACAGCCTGAGAGCTTCTCGGCAGAATCAAGTGTGAGAATTTCCATCTGACATCGGGCACACTTTATGGACTGAGGACCATGTCCAAAGGGGGAGTGGGAAAAAAGGAAAGATGAAATGATGGTATCTTTCAGATTTGGCCAAGGTGAAATTTAAACAAGTCAGGACTCCGAGATCCCTGGAGTTCCAGACAGATACAGACCTTTTTCCTATTCCTTCCAACTTGAGGACAGTACCAATGTCAAAAGTACGCAACATGGATACTTGGCATATGCTGAAAAGACATCTGTCTTGGAGCAGGAAGGCAAACAGTGCTGCTGCTCCGTGCAGGGTGTGGTCTTGCCAGGCTGGCCATGAAAGAATCACCAGGGTTGCTTGATCAACATACAAAAGCCCAGCCTCCACTGTGACAGATTCCAATTCCAGCAGATCTCAGGTGGGGCATAGCAAAATGAATGTCTAACAGTAGATTCTGATGCATAACTAGACCAGGGGGTGCTGCAAAGACTGGGAGAAACAACCTCTGTTATGTGGACAGGTGACCAGGAAGAGGTGAAAAGCGCCAGCTATCCTAGACCTGAGGTCATCTGGCTGAGGATCACATTAAAGAACCCTTTGTTTGGGTGAGCTCAAGCCCTGCTTTGGATGAGCCCCGCTTCCCTCTCTCATTCTCTCTCTCAAAAAATAAAAAGGGGGCGCCTGGGTGGCGCAGTCGGTTGGGCGTCCGACTTCAGCCAGGTCACGATCTCGCGGTCCGTGAGTTCGAGCCCCGCGTCAGGCTCTGGGCTGATGGCTCGGAGCCTGGAGCCTGTTTCCGATTCTGTGTCTCCCTCTCTCTCTGCCCCTCCCCCGTTCATGCTCTGTCTCTCTCTGTCCCAAAAATAAATAAATGTTGAAAAAAAAAATTAAAAAAAAAATAAATGGGAAGAAGGGAGGGAGGGAGGGAGGGAGGAAGGAAGGAAGGAAGGAAGGAAGGAAGGAAGGAAGGAAGGAAGGAAGGAAGGAAGGAAGGAAGGAAGGAAACCCTTTGCCCAGACCCTTGAGTGATATATGTGATATATACAATATTATTGCAACTCACACCCTGCACAAGAATGAGAGTCTGGCTTAGTTGCTGATTGTCTACTTTCTACAGATTCTTTTTTTTTTTTTTTTAAGTCTATCTTATTTATTTTGAGAGAGAGTGTGTGTATGAGAAGAAGGGCAGAGAGAGAGGGAGAGAGAGAATCCCAAATAGGGGAATCTTGACACAGGGCTCGATCGCACAAACAATGAGATCATGACCTGAACTGAAATCAAGAGATGGACGATCAACTGACTGAGCCACCCAGGTGCCCCAGCAACAGATTCGTAAGAACATAATGTGATGGTCAGTATTGATCAGTTTAGACTCAATTTATCATCTGACACCGAACACTGTCTTAGCATTTTTTTTAATGTGTGGGTAATAGATAATAGAAAAAGTATTTTTAAAAATCTATAAAGATGTTTGTGCTATCAGGTTAGGATTCTATAAGAATTAGTGTTTATTACTAAGTAAGTACAGAGCATAAAAGGGGAAACTCCAACCAGAATCCTATTTGGAATTTTAGTGTTAACAGATGGCAGCTTCACAAGTCAAAATCTTCTAGGTGATAGGAAAACACTGAGGGGAAATGATGTCCACAGGGGGCCCAGCCACACCATGAGTTTAAGAGCTCACTCTGTTTGTTGTGCAGAGATCTTTGTATTTGTGACAACTGATAGCTGTGATGGCCAGCCTCACCAGTAAGCATCCAACCCTGTTCTCTGTTCCGTTTTTGAATCCACCAGAAGCTCCATGGGCTCAGAGTTCATATCCCTGTGGAATATTCTGGTGGGCTCTTTGGCAGAAGACCCATTTCACTGGTTTTCCTGTCCCGCTGGGGACAGAGAAGTTTATGGATTTACTCCACTGATACTGTGTGGTGTCAAATAGGGCCCCAGGCCCCAAAGTCTTTGAGGTATACACAGATAGGAGGGCCAAGAAGAGAAGAAAGGCGATACTTCTTTTTCAGCAGTGTAATGTGCTGCTCATATAGGTTCCTGAATCTCTTCTTGGCATGAGTAGAGACAGAGATCTCCTAGCTTGAACATGTGTGGACACAACCCATGCTCACATGTACACTGATAGAAATGTAATTAAGGCTCAGAAGACTTCAGTTAATGTGGCTGAGGCTGGTGCCAAGTGGGGACAGAGTCTCCTCAACCCTCTTGGCAGACTTACTTGGAGAGGGTCTAGGTAGACAGAAGATCCAGTGACAGGTTTCTCTGCTCTTGCTCAGATCTGACAAGGTGGTAGCCCAGCAAAGTCATGGTATCATTGCAGACTTTTTGAAGTCGAGAAACCTTTGCATAAGGCAAGGTCCAGCGCCAGGCCTGAGAGACGTTGAGGGCATTCCTGGCATTCGTGTGGAAGGCATGACTACCCATGCCCTTGCCTCGAGTGCTGTTGTACACCCAGGTCTGGAGCTGGGGCAAGAATTTCAACCCCACAAATTTATACATTTGGTCAGTACGGCCAAGGGGGTCCCGGACCAGGTCCTCATAGCGTATGAGCATGTAGCGTTGCCTCAGAGCTGTGGGCAAGGACTGCACAGCCTTGTAGATCTCCATCTGGCTTTGGCAGATGACCTGCATCACATAGTAGGGCTGGTCCTCCTTCTTGAGTTTCTCCCCCTGCTGCCCCATCACAATGCGGCTGTCAGTCATGAGTTCCTCTGTGGTGTGTTCTCGAGAACGGAACACTGCCCGGGGGTCCCGCACCAGGTGTACGATGTGCAGATTGAGGGAAGGGTCTCTCAGCAGTGGGTAGAGCACTTGCAGATTGAAGAAGCGTACCTCCTTGAGCACCACGTGGCTATAGGAGCGACAGGCCTTCTCTACCACCTCAAAAGGCTGTTTACTGCACAGAAGTTTGCAGTGAGCCTGAGGTATGATCATATCCCGCGAGAACACATTGCAGGCAGGCGGGGAACACAGGGCCCGGCTGCCCTCCCACTGGAAGAGACTGGACTGTCTCCGAGGACCAGGTTTCATGTAGGCATCAAAGACACTCATGTCACACAGAAAAATGGCACGTATCAGATCCCTGGCCGCCATATGCAGCCTCCAGGCAGTGCTCTCTGTGAAGGTCATCCAGATGTGCCAGGCAGGTTCCATCAGGTAGAAGACATCCGGGTGCTGCCCAAAAAGCTGTCCCACAAAAGAGGAGCCAGAGCGCCAGGAAGACAGGACCAGCACATGCATGGGCTTGGGCTCCTCCTTCGTGGACAGGGAGTTGAAGTTGTGGCCATATAGATGGAATAATAGAGCAAAGATGGCCATCTGGGAAACCAGGAACAGCAGTGGCCTCATTTTTTTTGGCAGCATCATGCTGAAGTGGAGGACCTTAAGGAACAAGCAGAAGGGCTGTGTTAGGCTTCTGTTTTGGTGTCTGCCTTCCATCTGCTTTTATTCCCTAACCCTGAGCAAGGAGCAGCTAGAGTGCTGGAAATTTCTAACAACCAACTGCACAGATCCTTCTCTGAATCAATCCCTGTCCCTTGCAGTTAGTGTGTCAGTAAGTTCTATTTATCATAGGCTCTTTACTTCCTCCCTGATGGTCTTTCTTTTCCAGTGACCTACCAAAAATGACTGAGCTCAGTCATATTTCATCAACGTAGAGGAACAGTTCCACCCTGGCACCTTGGTGATACGCATGTCTCTACACAGGCCACTTAGGTAAAGCTTAACCATAGTCTGACCCAAGTTTTGGTTAAATGTCCTTCTGAAACTAAGGGAGATCAGCTGACTTATGAAGAATTACCTCACCCACCTCCCCTATCTTGAGGGAGGTTGCCATAGGCCATTTCTCATTACCTTCCTTCATCTCAAGCAAGCACAGGACTTTCAATCCCCTGAACAATATGGTTGCAGGCTATAAAAGTGCTTGGCTTGAGCTTGGAGTTGTCTCCTCAGTGGCAGAGCCAAGTGTCCATGGCACCTGTCATCTGATCCCCTCTGGCTTGGTCTCATCCTGTGGGACTACGGACATAAGGAAGTGACCCAATGCTGACCTTACATCTGAATCTATATGTCTCGAAGTGTTGTCTCTTTAATAGCCAACCCTATGGAAGTTGTGGCAAGCCAACCTAAGAGCCATGACCTGTTAGCCACTGTGCTGCTGCTTGGGGGAATATTTAACTGCTTGACACAACCTAATCAGGGCTACTCAGTATAGATTGCCAGGTTGTATACTGTACAACCCTAGGGAATGCCATCTCATTAGAACTTTAAGATATTTATTATTTAAAATTATTATTTAAAATTATTTAAAAATAAAAAAAAATCTTTAAAACTCTGAGGGACACCTGGATGGCTCAGTCGGTTAAGTGTCCTACTCTTGATTTTGGCTCAGGTCATGATCTCATAGTTTGTGGGATTGAGCCCCTTGTTGGG